ATGCTGTTGGTGTTGCCCGATTGGGCTTGGACATTGACTCACGATTCTGCTGTATCGTTCTCAAATGGATGGTTACTTGGTTCCATTGTGCTATCCGCTCTTGCTTTGACTACATGGACTTCAGTGTGATTATGCAATTTGGATTTCTGTGCTTCGTCCACATTCATGGTCCTTGCATTTTGGTATCGGAGCTGGTTCGATTTGCCACTTACCTTGGTGCGTTGGCGTTATACAGACTTGGTGCGTTGACGATGCTTCTTCGTAGTTGGTTCTTGTGATGTCAGGCCGATATTAGGCGCACGACCTGGGTAGAGAGGTGTGCGCCGGAAGGCTATACGGCTTGGGATGCCGTGGTGACGGTGGAATGTATGATTGGTGATGAGAGCATGTTGATGTGGCATTTAGCTGAGGTGGCACTGCATTGCGTTGTGGGTGGTACCGAGGCTACGACCGGTCATCAAATGCACACTCAACTCAATTGGTGAGAAATCTGTGGTTGGGGGCAGCTATCTCCAGGTACGTTGTTCCCTTACCTTATCTACTCTTTCAATCTCTTCTTACCTCGAGGAAGTGAGTCCAACTTGAGAGTCCTCTCTTTTGGTGAGGTGTCGTGAGCGCTCTACCTTGAGAGACGACAATCTTCCCGGTGGCATATCTGGAAGGAGAAAGGGCGGTGCCTCTGAAGGGCCCTGGTCGAAGCACATGGGTCACGGTCACCATGCCAACCCAATGGGATTAGTACACACATGCGATGGTTGCTTTGTCCTTGAGGGCACTTTTGCTGCGCTGATAGAGGGGTGTGCGGACTGAACAGGCTTATGCAGATGCTCCCAGACCGTCTATAAACATTTCTGGATGCGGTTCCGATCTGATAACTGGTTGTGATCGTCGTCCTGATTGCGACGTTAAATATTTCATGAGCGACCTTGGGGGCAGTCCTTAAATAGGCCTCTTGATCAGCCAGATCAGTTGGACGTACGGCTCGTTGCACGCGAGGATAAAAAAAGGGCAAGCCTGGTCATAAGCATGCACCTGGGGCACAGGGGTGGGCCGACATTGCACACCTATGACACTGCTGCTCAATGATGCTCATCGGTATGTTGGATTGAGGGGAGGGTAGGTTCCAATTGGTGCTCAATTGTAAACACAACCATATCCACTGTTCATACATCTGCAACATAGTTTAGTTTTATTGTTGATTAGTTGGTTGACAGACTGCTAACACCTCATAGACAGTCTAGTTTAGGACTTTTGTATACTACCATAGCCAGTTCTATGCAAAACTTATGTAAGAAAATCAATCATGATATTACTAAAATATGTTTACGGTCTTTTGTGAATGTTGTAGGCTGCCACTTGATCGGTTGAGTAGGGGACCTGCCAGACACATTTATTTTTAGAAAATTAGGTGTCAGTCATCACATGCTGTGGTAGGACTCCAACAGGGAGTTGTAGTGCAGATACTGTTTGCCTAACTGATGAGTGGGTCAGACACCGATGAGCGTAGAGTTGACGATGCAAGGCTGACACGTTCGAGATCATTAAGGGTCCCGCAGATGTTTCAGGCCCTAAGGCCGGGGGACGAGAGACGGCCTCGTGCCGAAAATAGAGCCCGTGCTTACGCAACAGCGAGAGAAACAACACTATCTGCAAGTGAGGCGTTGGCAATAGCAAACGCCGCAGCTAGGGAACAGGCAGCAGCAACAGCCAGAGCAGCGGCAATGGCTACCGCAGCAGCATCCTTTGCTGCATCCTCGTCTGGGACCCAGTTGGGGAATGCCCTCAGGGTCCACGGGTACTTCCGGATCAGTAGGTCCTAGTCAGTCTACAAGTCAAATGGCGGGCTCGCAGTTCGGTCCGTTGACCCCACGCGGTAGAGAGCTATTAGAGCTCCAACAAGTCGAAAGGATCCGCGCTCGGTTAGAGAGGGAACTGAAGCAAGCTACCGATAGGGAGAAAGAGATCAAAAATAGAACAGCCAGGCTTGATATGTTAGAGGCAGACAAAGATGCATTAGAGGGTTTGGATGAGTCAACCGTGACTGACCAAATGAAAGTGTTGAAGGCCAGCATACTGTCATTGCATGCGCACGTGGACCGTAGGCTGGACTTCATGCAGAACTCTTTGGACCAATTCTTGGACCTTTTGCAAAGGCCAGGATTACGACCAGCAGCACAGTCGCCGTTGCCGTTAACGGCGATGTCAGGCCCCTTTCCGGTACAAGATGGCACACAGCCAAGTGGTACGTCTGCAGCAGTCGCACAGACTGTTGCTTCTTCTTCCTCTGGTCCAGCGGCCGGAGCTACATCACAGCCGCAACAAGCTGTTCCACCACAGGGACATCAGCAAGGTCAATGGTACCCAAAGACCCCAATGAAACCGCCTCTTGCCTTCTCCGGTGAGAAGAAGGACGAGGAACTCAACACTTGGTTGAGAACAGGTCCAATGTGGGTAAGGGCAAAGAGGACTTTGCAGGAGGAGGAGGTGATTACTGCTGCATCTTACCTTGAGGGTAAGGCAGCCAAATGGCTAGATGGAATAGTAGCGAAGGCCGGGTTCGGACGACGCATGGCAGATTGGGGTAAGACCCTGACTTTAGAAGAGTTCTTAGATATGGTAGAAGCTCGCTGGCATAATCCGCAGCAGGCACAAATTGCCACTGACGCGATGTTTACAAGTTAGTCTGAGAGCTAACGTCTACCGTAGAGAACCTCATCGTCGTTCCCGGTATACGCTACGATGACCAGGTCTTATTGACCATGTTTCTGAGATGTCTACCCGAGAATCTCAGAACCTTACTGGCCAGCGAGGCTCGCCTCGAGTATCATTCGTTTGAGACCTTCTCTAGAAAGGCCTTAGATTTAGAGGCTACTCTAGGAAGTGCTCAACCTACCCCAGTAGACGGGAGGAAGAAGAAGAGTCCACAAGAATGGAAGAAGAAGGGTAGTAGATTGATGATGGTTGAGTCCGATGGGACTCAAACTGAAATCGAAGAACTTATCGACCTGATGGATGGTTCAGAGTACAACGGCGAGGAAGTCGTTGAGGGTAGCACCCTCGCCGCAATTGTAAAGACTAAGGCAGGTGGTCGAGGAAAGGGCCATCAAAAGAGTAAAGGGCAGACTGTCTGCAATCAGTCCAAAGTAGCAGATCGGGTCAAGGTAGGTCTTGATCAGGATGTGTGGCGGGACCGCCGAGTGCGTGGTGCTTGCATCAACTGTGGTGAATACGGACACACCCAATACAAATGCAAGAACGCAATGGTCATGCAGAAGATACCCCCTAAGGGAGGTGTACCTTCTTCCCAGGCTTCCAGCTCTGGAAACATGTGAGGTCGGTGGAAGTTTTAGCTGCTTCTACTCATGGTGAAGTGGGCCAGATACCCTCCCCACTTTATGAGAAGGCCATAGCTAATGACTCTTTAGTCACCCTGCAGATTCATCCAGACCAAACTATGCTCTGTACGTTGGATGTGTCTGAAGCCTTAGAAGATTTGGAAAGTGAGTGGTCAAGCAAGGACCCTCGCGAATCTTGGGTGGCACTAAGTAGAGGTCCTAGAGGGGAACATTTCGTCGTGGAAGTTGCTGTAGGGGGCCGCAAATGTGGTGCCTTCGTAGACATCGGCTCCACGCGAAATTACATAAGTCGCGACTGTTTGGAAAGGCTGCACCTAAAGGACGGGGTACATCACCTTAGTAGACCGGTAGCATCGACTTTGGTCAATAAGGAGCACATGGTTGTCACAGACTATATCAAGGATGTAGTATGCACCTTCTCCTATGGAGGAGGGGAACTTAATCACAAGATTTCGTTCATGGTTAGCAACGACTTACCATTTGATATGCTGTTAGGAATGTACTACCTTGAGGTTGCCAAGCCCCAGTTTGACTGGGACAAGAAGGTGCTAAAGCATAAGTTGCAGGATGGAAGGACCGTGAGACTGACCAAGTATAAGGCTAGTAGCTTAATAGAATCCTATGGCTGCTTGTGCGCATCAGCGCTCTACAATTATTATAAACAAAACCAAGAGGAGGGTATGTACCTAGTGTATGTCTCTGAGAAAGGGGAGGCCGTTAGAACACCCCCAGAGATACAACATGTCGTTGCTAAGTTCCCTGATCTGTTTAAAGAGCCCGCAGGAGTCGTAGAGAGGGAGATTGTCCATGCCATAGAAATCATTCCAGGGAGTAAAACCCCAAAGGGAAGGATCTATAGGATGGCTCCGACCGAGTTGGACGAATCGGCGACAACTGAAAGAGCTGATAGAAAAGGGATGGATACGGCCGAGTACTTCCCCCTTCGGATCTCCAGTGCTGTATGTACCAAAGAACGGGGGAACATTGAGGATGTGCATTGATTACAGAGGCCTCAATGCCATCACAGTGAAAAATGCAGAGCCTCTACCTCGCATAGACGACCTATTGGATAGGGTGCAGGGATGTAAGTACTATAGCAAGATAGACTTAAAGTTTGGCTACCATCAGATTGCTATAAGACATGAGGATCAGCACAAGACTGTTTTTCAGACCCAATACGGTCTGTATGAGTTTGTAGTGATGCCCTTTGGCCTTTGCAATGCGCCCGGTACATTCCAGGACGCCATGAATAGGATCTTCCATGACTACTTAGATAAGTTTGTCGTCGTGTACCTTGACGATATTCTTATCTTTAGTAAGTCTGACGAGGAGCATGCACAACACGTTGAGACTGTACTTTCACTCGTGCGACAACACAAGTATAAGGTCAACCTAGAGAAATAAGAGTTTGGTGCACTAGGATCTTGTACTTGGGTCATGAAGTGTCCGCTGAAGGAATTAGGCCGGAAGATGCGAAGGTGGCTAGTATCAGGGACTGGCCACGACCTCAGACTGTTACTGAGGTCAGATCTTTCCTAGGGATGTGCGGCTACTATAGGAACTTTGTGAAGAACTATTCCACAGTCGCCTCTCCTTTGACTGATCTAACTCGACTTGACATATCGTGGGACTGGAGTGATGAGTGCGAGGCTGCTTTCAAACGATTGAAGCATGCACTCATGAATCATGAGGTTCGCACGGTGCCCGATCCTCAGAAGCCTTTCATTGTGACCACTGACGCAAGCCAATATGGCATTGGCGCAATGCTGGCTCAGCAGGATGGGAAGAAGTTGAGACCGATTGAGTACATGAGCAAGAAAATGCCATCAAAGAAACTGGCAAAGTCCACCTACGAAAGGGAACTCTATGCTCTTTACAAGACACTTGTCCATTGGAGGCACTTTCTGTTGGGACAGTTCTTCTATTTGAGAACAGAGCATCAGACCCTTAAATGGATCAAGACTCAACCGGCTCTTTCTGATGCACTCAAGCCCTGGATTGAGGTTATAGATCAGTATGACTTCAAGCTAGAGTATCTGAATGGAGAGTATCAAGGTTGCAGATGCGCTGTCACGTAGGGCAGACTACCTAGGGGCGCTAGTTTTTGAGTTTAGTGTATGTGAGGAAGGAACTCAATCGTTGGTGGGAGCCTATTAGGAAGACCCTATCACGATGGACATCATACGCAAACTTCAGGCAAAAGATAAGGCCACAGAAGATGAGTTTGTGATGGTGGACGGGTTACTCTTTCTGGATAAGGCCGGGTGTAAAAGATTAGTGGTTCCATCTAGAGAGAGTTTGCGTAGTTTATTTATAGGGGAATGTCATGACGCAACTGGACACTTTGGCTACAAAAAGACAAGTGCCAATCTAGTACAACGATTTTAGTGGCTCGGAATGCTAGATGATGCAAAGAAGTATGTGGAGACCTGTCAGGTCTGTCAGCGGGACAAGCCGCGAACTCAAGCACCGCTTGGGTTGCTGAAGCCCTTACCTACCCCCGCGGGTCCGGGACAGAGTGTTTCCATGGATTTCATGGACACCCTCGTGACCAGTAGGAGTGGCAAGAGGCACATCTTTGTCATCATAGACCGATTCACCAAGTACGCTAGACTAACAGCCATGCCAGAGATCGCAAGGACTGAACACGTCATCAAGTTGTTTATGGACAACTGGGTGCGTGATTTTGGACTGCCAAAGTCAATCGTTAGTGACAAAGATGTCCGCTTCACAAGTGACCTGTGGAAGAAGACTGCTGAGCAATTGGGCAGTCAACTTCGGATGACTTCCGGGAATCATCCCGAAGCCAACGGGCAGGCCGAGCAGATGAACAGAGTTGTACAACACCTGTTGAGGCATTACATCCAGCCCAGCCAGGATGACTGGGATGAGAAATTGCCTCTCATCGCCAGCCTGTACAACAACGCTGTACACAACAGTACCGACGTCAGTCCTAACCAGCTGCACTTGGGATGGAAGCCTAGATCAGCTCTGGACTTCCTCCTACCTGAAAACCGATTGTCTGCAACTTCGGGCACACTTGAATATGGTGTGCAGTATGAGAACTTGCCACAACAAGTTGTCGAGCACATCAGGAAATCTCAGCAAGCAATGATTGCTTCTGAGAACAAACATCGTCGACAATCCTCATTTCAGTTAGGGGAACGTGTCTGGGTCAAGGCTAGTGAGCTAGGACAAAAATTCGAAATATCTCAAAAACTAATGCCTCAGTATTTTGGTCCCTGGGAAGTCTTGGACATAGTTGGGGATGAGATGGATGGTCCTACCTATGTTATCCGTATCGCTGGACACCTACGCACTCACCCTGTCTTTCATGCCTCAAAGCTTGCACCTTTCGCTGAGACAGATCAATTCCCTTCAAGGAGATCGATGCTGCCCCCAACCATGGATGGCSAAGTGGACATCGACGACATTGTGGATCACAGAGACATGCCTGTTCCAAAGCCACTGGGTCGAGGAAGACCTCCCAAACCCAAGAGAGAATATTGCGTCAGATTCAGGCATCATACGGATCCAAAAGAAGATCGGTGGTTCACCAGAGAGGAACTGATTGACACAGCTCCTCAAGTGGTGGCAGAATATAAGAGGATGTTAAAAGGGAAGGCACCTGCGAAGTAAGCATCTCAGCGGACTTTCGAAGCTAAGGGGGATGGAATGTGAGGATTGAGCCCTCAAAGGGCCTTGCCGTGATGTACATGTTCTGGGCTAACGCCCCCAGCAAGCCTCGTGCCCGCCCTAAGTGAAGGCGGGCCAGCAAATCAACGAGAGCCCCTTTGTTCAAACATTTCACGAAGTGGGGTCCATACAGTTGCCGCACGCCAGTTGGTTGGAGTGCACTGAGTACCGGATCTCTGCAAATGCAGAAGAACGAGGGCCCCAAAAATTGGTTAGGCCCTGGGCACATAAATGTGAGGCCGACATTGCATGCGGGATATAGAGGCCGAAAATGCCAATGGGAAACTGGTCCACTATCTGAATCTGGACGCAGGCCTGGATGAAAGAGGCGCAACTGTATTTCGTGGGCCCCAACTGCATTGTGCCTGGGTACAAGTACTGGGGCCCAAGCGCAGGCTCAAGGGAGGCCACCCACACGCAACACTGACATATAGGCAGAGAGGGCGAGTGGGCAGGGATCTTGGCCATTGCGAGCAATGCCGGCACGCTGAACCATTGCGAGGTGCTGCGCTGTGCTGCGCTGTGCTGCGCTGCGCTAGGCTGAGAGCAGGCAGGCTGGCGCTAAGCGGTAGGGCACAGCCTGGGCGCAGGGCGCTGGCGGCCATAGCCGGGCTGCCTGTGGGCGCTGAGGGAGGTGAGGGCGAAGGTGGTTCTTCGGAAGGTGAAGGGCGTTGTGTGGAATGACAAGGGAGAGTGAGGGTGAAGAGAGACGTACCTGGTGGAGAGGAGGTCGGCATTGGTGTTGACGTCATCACTCGCTGGTCGTCAAGTTGTCTGGTTGCTTCCATGCTGTAGTTGTCGTGATAGGCTGTAGAGTAGATAGGGCGCCTGGCGCCATTCAGGAGAGAGAGCTACATTGGGTTATGCTGTTGGTGTTGCCCGATTGGGCTTGGACATTGACTCACGATTCTGCTGTATCGTTCTCAAATGGATGGTTACTTGGTTCCATTGTGCTATC